ATTTAGAGTAACTGCTGCTCTGAGTATAGGTCAGGTTCATCTTGAAGATGTATCTTCTGTCACTGTAGCTGTTCCAGTCTGCTTGTCCCATCACTAGGATTTTAACCTGTTGCTGTCTTAACCACTGGGTTGGATTTCAATCTACAGGTTCTTCTACAATTCATAAAAGAATCCGATCAGAAATGAATGGAATGCCAATGTTGCTCGACTACAGGCAACCCGAGAATGGCAACTATCTGGGTACTAGCACTGAGCTGAGAGAGTCAGCCCTATTTGAATTTCTAAGGGAAGCCTTCCTAATGATGACAGAGATGGTGGAGTTAGGGTTTTCCGGCATTCCTGTATTTTCAATGTTTTTATGTGCCATGGACTCGGTTCTGACTTCATACTGACCTGTACAGGGTTTCCGAGGCTGTAATTCTTTACAGGAGCAGAAAGCCTCATCTTTCTCCCACGGAACAGCTGGTAGTTTCAAATTGCCGACCTTGAGGTTAGCAGCCTGATTCATAACCACTACACTACTCTCTCATATTTTCCTTAAGTTTCAGAACAGTTATTACTATCTTTTCTGCAAGGTCCTACCCGAGGTACCAGAGTGGTGACACCACTGGTGTGGAGCCTCAGGGTCGTGAACTTTTAGTCGACCCGACTCTCAATTAGAGAGGTGGTGGCTCTTAATCCTGTTGGCCTAAGAGAACCACACAAACACCAAAGGCCAAGTCTCACCTCAGACCCATTACAAGAGAATCTTAAGTATGGGAGCCTGATGTGTATTCTTCCAAAGCTTTCAGGGAGATTTGAATGCAGAACCACAGTTAGACTAGACTCATCCTTCACCCTGTGCTTGGACTACGGGCCTGCATGAGGGCCAGAAGGTTCTTCTTAATCCAACACTGATGAGCTCTGCTCTGGGAACAGTGACTAAATCTCACTGACCTTGTGTATGGTCAACAGCGAAGTAAAAGGAAAACTATTTCCTTCTTCACAGGTTATTGTGAAGATAAAAGGATACAACGTGGTCACAGGGTCATCTTAGAGCAACTCTGTGCAACTTACATACTTCAACTGTAAGTCAAAAGTTTCCCTTACCTTAGCCTTGATTCATGAGAGGAACTGTCTTCACAGCTCTGTCTGAGACATTTTCTTAGCTAGTGCCGCCCTGGGAATCCTAGTGTGGCAATCTTGTGTTGAGCAAGTTATCTTAGACGCATTTTTCCAAGACACGTGCTTACTTTGTCAAATTTTGGTAATTCTCCCAATATTTCAAACTTTTTATAATGCACACTTAGTAAATTACAGTAAAGTATAAACAATTTTTATATGCACTTTATTGTTGTTAGCTACCTTCAAGTTGGTTTTGATAAATGCACTGGACACAAGGTTGGTTTGAACTGCAAGGTTGGCAGTTCAAATCCACCAGCCGCTCCTCAGAAACCCTATACAGGGTCACTATGAGTCAGAATGGACTCGATGGCACTTAATATACATCACGGAAGTAAACACTGCCTGGTCCTGCACCATCCTCACCATTGTTACACATGACCCCACTGCTGCTGTCATTGTGCCAATCCATCTCGTTGGGGGCCTTTCTCTCTTTTGCTGACCCTATACTTTACTTCTCCAGGGACAGCTCCCTCCTGATAACATGTCTGAAGTATGAGAGACGAAGTCTTGCTATCACTATTCTAGCTTCTAAGGAACATTCTAGTTGCACTTCTTCCAACAGAGATTTGTTTGTTCTTTTGGCTGTCCATGGCACTTCCAATATTCTTTTCCAAAACCATAACTCAAATGCATCAATTCTTCTACATGCTTTCACATGCAGATGAAGTTATTGAAAATACCATGGCTTAGGTCAGATGCACCTTAGTCCTCAAACTGATATCTTTACATTGAGATGCTATCCATACTGAAGTCTTTGATCTTCATCAGTATTTTAAGTCCTCTTCGCTTTCAGCAAGCAAGATTGTATCATCTACATATTGCAGGGTGTTAATGAGTGTTCATCTAATCCTGATGCCATGTTCTTCACATAATCCAGCTTCTCGGACTATTTGCTCAGCATACAGATTGAATCAGTAGGGTGATACAACACCTTTTCTGCTTTTAACTCAATGTTTCCCCTTGTTCTGTTCAAACAACTGCTTCTTGGTCTATTTACAGGTTCCTCATGAGCACAATTAAGTGTTCTGGAATACTCATTCTTTGCAACGCTACCCATAGTTTATCATGATCCACACAGTCGAAAGTCTATATTCAATAAAGCACAACTAAACATATTCCTCGTATTCTCTGCTTTCAGTCTAGATTCATCTAACATCAACAATGACAGCCATTTCACATCCTCTTCTGAATCCAGCTTGAATTTCTGGCAGTTCTCTATTCAAGTACTGTTGCAACCATTTTTAAATTATCTTCAGCAAAATTTTACTTGGATGTGTTATTAATGATATTGTTGGATAATTTCCGCATTCTGTTGGGTCACCACTCTTTGGAACGGGTACAACTACGTATCTCTTCCAATCTGTAGGCCAAGTAGCTGTCTTCCAAATTTCTTGGCATAGATAAGTGAGTGCCTCCAGTGCTGCATCAGTTTGTTGAAATAGTTCAATCGTATCCTGTCGATCCCTGGAGACTTGATTTTCGCTAGTGCCTTCAGTGCACCTTGAACTTCTTCCTTCAGTACCATCGGTTCTTCATCATATGCTACCTCTTAAAATGGTTGAACCCCTACCATTTTTTTTTTTTTGGTACAGTGACTGTGTACATATCTTCCATCTTCTTTTGAAGTTTTCTGTATCATTCAGTATTTGCCCATAGTATCCTTCAATATTTCAAATTGAGGTTTGAGTTTTTCTTCAGTTCTATCAGTTTAACATAAGGATATCATGTTTGGTAAGGTGGAAAAAGAGGAAGACCCCCAATGAGATGGATTGGCCAAGCGGCAGTATCAATGGACTCAAGTGTGGCAACAGTAGTGAGGTTGGCCCAGGATCGGGCAGTGTTTCGTTCTGCTGTGCATAAGGTCGCTATGAGTCGGTCCCGACTCGATGGCACCTAACAACAACATCAGCTTGAGAAATGCTGAATATGTTCTCCTCTTTTGCTTTTCTAATTCTAGGTCTTTGCATATTTCATTATAATACTGTACCCTGTATAGGGTTTCTAGGGAGTGGCTGGTGGGTTTGAACTGCCATCCTTGTGGTTGGCAATAATGTGCTTATCCTAGGGCACCCCACCAGAATTCCACATTACTGTATGTACTGGGAAACAAAAAAACTCATGTGACTTGCTTTACGAGAACTCTCGCTGTTATGTTTAGCAAGTATTCTTTTGGTAATCATGGAATAAATTAGGGACTTGCAGCTCTTGTAGGTGAGGAAAGGAAAAGGTCTAGTCCAACCAATAAGTAGGATTTCTGAATAAAATACTGTCTTTGGTTAATTTGGTATGGCAGAAGACTAGAGAGGCAAACATTGCCAACCAAAAAGCATTACTGCTTAAGTAATCTTCTTAGAGTTGGCAGCTCATGACACTGCTCTGACCATCTCCCTTTTGCCAATAAAATACTTTGCCAGGATAGTGTACTGTGTATCGAGCACACAGTTCAACAGTAACCAGCAGCTATTATTTTAATAAATTGAAGAAACAGAAACTGTATGACAACAGATGTCAATATTTAAAAATGGAACTCTGGGTCGTTTAGTCCCCTGCTTAGAAAGCTTGCAGAGGCATGAGCACTGCTGTGCCAACCCAGAACCCTGACTGGTCTACACCACCATTTAGGGCTTCCTGGGGCAAAGACTGATTCTGGGATCTCACCCAGATGGCTTTGAGCAATGATGCATGGCTAGAATAAGAAAGAATTCAGATTTTTCTTATTAAGTTGATCTGTTACTTTATAGTTATATTTTATGTGTTTTGTTAAGAAATTCTACAGAGGAAATTACATCTTGTTGCCCTATATTAGTGCCTGTTCTACATGTAGGTTTGAAATTCCACTAGTCTCTTTATTTTCTAATGATACAAAACTCTCTATAGTTTATCTCAAAAAGCACTGAAGAACCTAACTACCTTAAAATGACTTTCAACAGAACTCAGAAGATACCCTGGTGTTGTCTGTGTGTGTGCAGCGACGCCAGCCCCTGGGTGTTGTCTGTGTGTGTGCAGTGACGCCAGCCCCTGGGTGTTGTCTGTGTGTGTGCAGTGACGCCAGCCCCTGGGTGTTGTCTGTGTGTGTGCAGGGACGCCAGCCCCTGGGTGTTGTCTGTGTGTGTGCAGTGACGCCAGCCCTTGGGTGTTGTCTGTGTGTGTGCAGTGACGCCAGCCCCTGGGTGTTGTCTGTGTGTGTGTGTAGTGACGCCAGCCCCTGGATGTTGTCTGTGTGTGTGCAGTGACGCCAGCCCCTGGGTGTTGTCTGTGTGTGTGCAGCGACGCTAGCCCCTGGACAAGTGACACAGTAGCACTGTCAGTCATGAGCATGTAGGGCAAAGTGGCATAGAGAGGAAAGTCAGGTAACATGTTTTGTCATAAGTGAATCTCGTGCTGGGTTTGAAAGTCTGCATATGAACTTAGCGGACAGTTGGGAGGGACGGAAGGGCTCCCTACCACGTGGAATCATCTGAGGCACAGACTGTGGTGTGCTTGAAGGATACTGCAGTCTCCTGTGGCCGCAGCATGAGGTGCCAAGGGAGCGGGTGAGTAGCACGGAAAGTTGTTGGGAATAATCACCATAAAAAGCCTCTGATGTCAGACTGAGGTCTCAAGGCCAGAGCTGGTGGAGACCCACAGTGATTTTTAAGCTGAGAGTGACAGGTTCGGGAGTAGTTTAGTAAGACAAGGAAGAATAAAGCATTTACTAAATTTTTATAAAACAGCCACAGTATTCACTATTTTCTTAGCTTAACATTATTTCCTCTTGTTTTATGGGGGAAAAAAATTAACTTACTTTGCTGATGTGCTCAGGGGCCTGGTCAGGAGTGTTGCTGAATTCTCCACCCATCTGGAGGTCACTGACACAGCAAATTGAATCCCTCAGTTCTGTGAGCTTCTGGCTGCCCAATACTAACACCGTCTGGTACGGTTTGTGTTCTTTGTGCTAAAAGTCCAATGGTAAGAAAGTTCAATTCCACTTGGAAGGAAAACAACTAAAAAACAAATTCTATCAGAGCCAGGTCTACATTGTAAGTTACTAGTTTTTTAAATTTAAGCTAAGCATTATAATTAGAATGCTATAAACTGACATTAGCATTAGCGAATCCTTGGGATATAATTTCATCTAGCAGTACTGTCTTTGAAAATGTTCTGGCTGTTACTTCACTGAAGTCAGAAGATTTTTGTGTTTTATATTGGAGTTGATTATTTGAGATCCGAAAACAATTTACTCACAGAAATAAGGTAATTCATACTAATTACATCCAAGGTAAATCAAAATAAGCCTATTTATTTACAAGTACATTATTTACATATTCGTTGTTAAGTGCCTTCAAGTCATTTCCTACCCATAGTGACCCTGTATAGGGTTTCTGAAGAGCATCTGATGAGCTTGAACCGCCAACCTCACCGTTCAAACAGCTTTGCAGTCTGGCTCATTAACCCACAGCGCCACACCAAGACTCCCCACATACTATAGTCAACTTCAATTAAACCATATCATCATTTATGGTACATCTCTTTGGGAATTCAAGACTATATCCGCTATGGTCTGGGATAGAGTTCTTTTTATTAGAGACTCCTTTAGAAATTCCTCAATTTGTTTAACTTTTTGTATTTTCAAAGAAGACCTACATTGAGTTAGTTAAATAATTTCCCAAGTATTCTCAATTGGTGAACAAAGTCAATTAACTCTTTGACCAGTCACCCATTCTGTAAAAAAACTTCAAGGATTCTTAGAATCATTTTGGATTTAAATATACTTTCTGCTGCTTCTACTGCAGAAAGTAGACATTCTAACTCTATCATGTTACTGCTGTTTAGTGACATCCAGTTGGTGCTGACTCACTGCAATACTGTATAGGATTTCTGTATAGGAGCAGCTGGGGGCTTTGAACTGCTGACCTTGCGAGTAGCAGTCCAGTGCTTATTCTATAGCATCACACCAGGACTCCTTGTACTCCTATTAATGAGTGCTAAAATTTGACAATATTTATTTTACAATAATGAAACCAAACCCACTGCCGTTGAGTTGATTCTGACTCATAGCAAACTTACAGGACAGAATAGAACAGAGCAGAACTGTCCCACAGGGTTTCCAAGGCTGTAAAACTTTGTGGAAGCAGACTGCCACATCTCTCTTCTGGGGAGTAACTGATGGGTTTGAACCACCAACCTTTTAAACCACACTTTTTAAACTGTGCTATCAGGGTTGTTGTTTAGAATGTTGTTGTTAAGTGCCATTGAGTCGTTTTCAGCTTATAGTGACCTTGTACAGGATTTTTGAGGAGTGGCTGGTAAGCTTGAACTGTCGATATTGTAGTTCAAATTGACCTTGCAGTCCAGTGCATTATGTCGCAGCAGTACACCAGGACTCCTTATTTACAATATTCCTCATTAAAACAAGGTAGTGTATACTTGCATTATTTTAGTTCTGAGGAATGGGACTCTTGGAAAACTGGATTCTTGGACAAAGTTTCTTACATTATCTGTGAAATCCAAAAGGTGGGCACACTGACCTTGTGAAATATGACAGGGTAGAGGATATTGAGAGACAGGATCAGCTCCCCTGCTCCCACCAGGTCTGCAGGGTTTCCGGGCCGTTTTCCCATGCCCTGTGACCCCTGTGGGAGGAAGATGAGTTACACAGGGCGGCCTTCAACTCAGTCAGACACTGTGACTCATGAGACACAGGGTGGTGCTGCAGCTAGAAGCAGAGGCCTGAGCTGGCTTCCTAACTCAGGCAAATGGTTAAATCTCTCTATGCTCTAGTTTTATCTTCTGCTAAAAGGAAAAGGAAAAAAAACTCCGAACCCAGAAAATGCTTATTTTATAGAACTGCTATGTACAGAATGCATCAAATCAGCTATCTGGCACTAAGTGTTCAGTAACTAATAATAAAACAGGGCTATTCATGTTACATGCCTTTGCCTTTGTTGTTTAGGTGCTGGGGAGTCATTTGCTACTCATAATACTCCCATGTGACAGAGTAGAACTGCTCCATAGGGTTTTCTTGGCTGTAATTTTTATAAAAGCAGACTTTTCTCCCGTGAAGCTGCTTGTTGTTGTTGTTGTCAAGTGCCGTCGAGTCGATTCCGACCCATAGCGACCCTGTATAGGGTTTCCAAGGAGTAGCTGGTGAACTTAAACCGCCGACCTTGCAGTTCAAACGGTTTTGCAGTCTGGTGCATTAACCCACAGCACCAGTGACGCTGCTAGGTGGGTCCAAACCACCAACCCTTCAGTTAGCAACTGAGTACTTAACTGTCTGTGCCACCAGGGATCCTAATGTTGGCACAATACTGGCACTTTACAGTTGCTAAAACTTTCACACACCTCATCTATTATTATGAAGCATTTTATAGATGAGCCTCAGGTCAACCCACAGTCATGCCACAACATTCAGATCTGGTCTGCTCTAAAAGCCACACTGTTTCACAACATTATCACACACTCTTTGGTTTTGTGCTCAGTAACTGAAGTGGAGGTCACCAGGGAAGGCTGGCTAGGAAATAAAAGGCAAAAGGTGCAAAAGAAATAAAGGTGCCAAAGAGCAGGTGTCCTTATGCACTACATAGCGCCCAGAACACCTGGCACACAGTAGGTGTGCAGGAAATGCACTGACAGAACCCATCGTGTCTACTAGCTCTTCATTCCTTAGCGCTCACTAACTTGAACTGTACTCAGGGCTTTACGTGGAGTCCTGGTGAGGCGCTGTGGATTACTGTGCCGGTCTGGAAGATCAGTTTGAACTTCAAGACTGGCGGTTCAAGCCCACCAGACACTCCTCGGAAATCCTATACAGGGTTGATATGAGTCAGAACCGACTTGATGACACTTAACAATAACAACAACAAGGATTTAACATAGAAATAATTGGTAAGGATTAGGAATATGGTAAACCACTATCAGGAGCAGAAAAATAAGAACCGGATTACTGTTGTTGTTAAGTGCCATAGCAAGCCTGTATAGGGTTTCCAAGGAATGGCTGTGAGTTTGAACTGCCAACCTTGCAGTTGAGTACAGTGTCACACCAGGACTCCAAGAACATGATTGTTGTTGTTGTTATGTGCCGTAGAGTCGGTTTCGACTCATAGCGACCCTGTATAGGGTTTCTGAGGCAGTAAATCTTTACGGGAGCAGAAAGCCTCATCTTTCTCCCGCGGAACAGCTGGTAGTTTCGAACTGCTGTCCTTGCGGCTTGCAGCCCGATGTGTAACCACTACGCTACCAGAGCTCCTTAAGAACAGGATTGTTGTTGTTGTTGTTATGTGCCGTGGAGTCGATTCTGACTCATAGTGACCCTGTATAGGGTTTCTGAAGCTGTAAATCTTTACGGGAGCAGAAAGCCTCATCTTTATCCTGCAGAACAGCTGGTAGTTTTGAGCTGCTGACTCTGAAGTTAGCAGCCCGATTCATAACCACTATGCTACTAGAGCTCCTTGAACAGGATTAGGGGGGTGAAAAAGCTTTAACTTAGTCTGGTACTGAGAGCAAGAGTAAAGAAAGAGGAAAAGCTTAGAGCAATACAAAAGCAGATCTGAAAGAGTCAAATATGCCCCCTCCTTCCCTCTAACTGCCATCCAGTCGATTCTGATACCTAGTGTCCCTACAGGACAGATATTACTGCTGCACAGGGGTTTCAAGGCTGCCATCTTGATGAATGCAGACGGTTATAACTTCCTCCCTTGGAGCTGCTGGTAGATTTGAACTGCCAACCTTTCAGTTAGCAACAAGATCTGAAGTGTATCTCTAGGGTCCCTTGTCAAATATACGTTGACTTGAATTCTGGGGCCTTTTTCTCCCTCTCGTTCCCAGCCCCAGGGAAGCAGTTACAGTTTGTTTTCAACTACGCATGTCCAATGGAAAGTGCCAACTCAGCCATGAGGAACTCACTCAGCCATGACACAGAGGTCACTGCTGTTGTGGGACGGGGGGAAAGATGAGACTCTTACCATCTCGTAAGCAAATGTTTCCTGTCGGCACACTCTGTCTATTGTTAGGGTTTCTTCCCGCTGTTCCATGAGCCTCTTTCTAACCCTGTTGTTGACACAAGACAAAAATCAAACTTCAGTGTTCTTTACTGAACCTTTAAAAACAACTCATATATATTTTTAACTTTTAATTTGAACTAGTTTTAATTCTGCTCATCATGAATCTGTACGTGGACCAAGAGGCAGTTGTTCGAACAGAATATGGGAACAGAAGATGGTTGAAAATTAAGAAAGGTGTACGACAGGGTTGTATTCTTTCACCATAATTATTCAACATGTATGCTGAGCAAATAATCCAAGATGCAGGGTTTTATGAAGAAAAACGTGGCATCAGGATTGGAGGAAGACTCATTAACAACCTGCGATATGCAGATGATACAACCTTGCTTGCTGAAAGTGAAGAAGACTTAAAATATTTACTGATGAAGATCAAAGAGCACAGCCTTCGGTATGGGTTGCATCTCAATGTAAAGAAAACAAAAATCCTCACCACTGGACCAATAAACAACATTCTTATCAACAAAGACTGAAGTCATCAAGGACTTCATTCTTCTTGGATCAACTATCAACATTCATGGAAGCAGCAGCCAAGAACTCAAAATGTCGTATTGCATTAGGCAAATCTGCTGCACAAGACCTTTTTAGAATGTTGTAGAGCAAAGATGACAGTTTGAGGACTAAGGTGCGCCTGACCCAAGCCATGGTATTTTCAATAACCTCATGTGCATGGGAAAGCTAGACAGTGAATAAGGAAGACCATAGAAGAATGGATGCTTTTGAGTTACAGTGTTAGAGGAGAATATTGAAAGTGCCATGGGCTACCAAAAGAACCATCAGATCTGTGTTGGAAGAAGTACACCCAGAGAGCTCATTGGAGGTCAAGATGGCCAAATTTCTTCTCTCATATTTCAGGCATTTTGTCAGGAGGGACCAGTCACTGGAGAATAATAACATGTTTGGTAAGGTAGAGGGTCAAAGAAAAAGAGGAAGACCCCAAAGAGATGGATTAGCCAAGTGGCAGCATCGATGGGCAGAAGCATGTCAATGATACTGAAGCTGGCCCAGGATCGGGCAGTGTTTCGTTCTGTTGTGCATAAGGTCACTATGAGTTGGTACCGACTCGATGGCACCTAATAACAACAACAGTTTTAGATTATCAGGAAAGCTGCAAAAATTCATAGAGCTCCCTTACAGGTCTCACACAGCTTCTCCTAATGTTGACATCTTTACATGATCAATAATTGTCAAGAACAAGAAGTTCACTGGCACACTGTTACCCCAGGCCTTATCCAGATTTCAGGAATGCCATTTTGGGTCCCTCACTACAGTAATTTCTCCTGAGTCCCCTGCAGTCTTGTGCAGTCCCTCAGTCTCTCATTTTTCAGGACCTGAATACTTGAAGAGTTCTAATCACTTATTTTATAAATGTCCCTCAACTTGGGTTTGTCTACTGCTTCCTCATGATTGTAAGGTTATACATTTTTGGCAAGAATGCCACAAGAATGGTGCCCTTTCTCAGTGTATCAGTATCAAAGGGTTCATGATGCTGCTGTGACTTATTGGTAAGTCTTATTAGTGGTTATGTTTGCCCTGGTTAAGGTCCTGTTTTCTGGGGTTCTCCACTGTAAAGTTACTCTCTTTGACTTATTACTTGAAGAGTATCTTGGAAGAGATTCACTTTGAGACTATACTAATGCCAGTTCTCCTCCAACTTTCACTGTAGCACTTCCTCAGATTTTGTCTGCAACATTTATCCATTCTATCCTGAAGAAGAATCTTTTTCCTTCATTCATGGAAAAATTTCATTATCTTCTAATTCTGCTTTTCCATTCGCTTTCTGAAGCCCTCTCATACCTGTCTGATCATTTATATTAGTATAAATTTTAAGTTATGGATTTAATTGTATCCTCCAAAATATATGCCAACGTGGCTAGGACACAAGTTTCAATATTATGTAATCATCTTCCATTTTGTGATCTGATGTAATCATAGCATGTGTTGTCAATTCTAACCTCTATGTTAATGAGGTATGCTGTAATTTACAGGACTAGCCCTGGTGCGGCCGCTGCAGGTTAAGGCGCTGGACTGCAAAGTTGGTTTGAACTGCAAGGTCAGCGGTTAAAGCTCACTAGCTGCTCCTTGGAAACCCTATACAGGGTTGCTATGGGTTGGAACCAACATGATGGCACTTTAGTAAGTTGTATCTTGAGTCAATCTCTTTTGAGATATAAAAAGATAAAACAAGTGAGCAGAGATCCGGGAGAAAGAAGAGCTGGTAGCTGCACATGTCTTTTGGACCCAGGGTCTCTGGACTGATGCCAAGACACAAGGAGCTCTTTCAGCACACAGCTGTGGAAAGTAGAGAAGGACCTTCCCCTACAGCCGAGAGAAAAAACCTTGCCCAAGAGCTGGCCCCTGAATTCAGACTTCTACCCTTCTAGTCTGTGAAAGAATGGATTTGTTTATTAAAGCCATCCACTGTGTATTCATGGGACAGCAGCATTACATAACTGAGACAGGGCACTTATTTCATTCTAGACGTTAAAGTCCAATACCATCATTTTGTTGCTCAAATTGTTTCTGCTTTGGCCATTAGGCGCTCCCTCATCTTGCTGGGCATTTCACTTCTTATCCTGCCCTTCCTTCCTCTTTCTGCCCCTCCACCCTCTGTAGGGGAGTCCTGGTGTGGTGTTGTGGGATAATGTGTCACACTGCAAAGCTGTTTGAACTGCAAGGTCAGTGGTTCAAGCTCACCAGCTGCTCCTTGGAAACCCTATACAGGGTCGCTATGGGTCAGAATTGACTTGACGGCACTTAACAACAACCCTCTGTAGACAACCTATCCCTATAGTTCTGGTTTGCACTTCACTTTTTTTTTCTCTCAAATAAGCAAGTATCTGTGTATTTTCTAATCTTCTTCTACATTACTTTGGTGGCACAAACTGTTAAGCACTAGACTACTAACTGAAAGGCTGGTGGTTTGAATCCACCCAGAGGCAATTCGGGAGAAAGATCTGGAGAAGTGCTATGAAAGTCCACAGCTTTGAAAATCCTATAGAGCAGTTTTACTCTGCACACCTGAACTCACTATCAACAGAAATGAACTCAACAGCATCTAACAATAACGAATTTCATTTAAGTTCAAGTAGGAAAGGAAAACACACAGTAATTTGAACGGAGATGACTTGATATAAACAATAAGAAGACAACGCTAATAAATACAAAAACAAGATATAAGTAAGGTACACCCACTACTCATAGAGCTGAGAGTCTAAGGACAGAGATTTAGATGTTGTTGGTGAGGACACAGCTAGGACTGGCACTGAATGGCAGAGAAGGTGCCACAGTGCCACCCTCAAGGTTGTCAGGAAGAGCTGTTTTAGAGAGGTACTGAGGAAGGGGTGCTGGGAAGCTCTGTCCTGTAAAAGCCTGTCCAGGGAGCTCAGCAGACAGCAAACCAAACCGTTCTCCTACAGCGTGTCCCCAGTGCCTTTTAGTAATGGAGGTTAACACTGCACCAATTAGCAAAGAAAACAACACTTTCTTCTAAAGAAAAGTCAAATATGGTTTTGTAGATGAGCTAACCAAAGCACCTATTTCTGACATGCCTGCTAGCCTCCTGTAGTTGTGTTTGAAGGCTTTGCTTTTCTCACTGAACTGTCTATGTCAAGGGACTCACTCTGAGTTCCTCATTCCTCATCCACTATTATAGCTGCTCTGGGCTCCACTGAGCAGAGGCTCATCTGTCCAACACTCTCCTATAAATGGGCATATGTAGGTAGGGTATTTCACATACTAGGGGGCTTCAAAATGTTTGTGGAAAAATTCCGTTATCTTTTAATTCCATCTTCCCATGACGTTTTTGAAGCCTCCTCTGATTTTGCAATTGTATTATTTCAACAAATAATGTTGAAGATAAGAATTTTAGTTATACTGAGGTTTATCTATAGTGTAGACTGTAAGACCTTTGGGACAAAATTATATGTAAGTGCATATGTAATGTAGCTAGGTATGTAAGACTGCATCATGCCCTCTATCAATGCTTCCTCCATGGCTTCACTGAAAGAATATGTTATCATTCTTTTAAATCTGCGCTCATGTGAAACGTAAGGAAAAGGTATTGTGGTTTAGTTTTAATCCGCTGTGTTCTTTAAATTACGAGTGTGAGTGAGGATTTCTTTCAGGTGAGTCCTTTTACTCTCTTTTTTGTATGTAAATTACTGACTCATGTCTTTGTCTCATCTTTCTATTGGCTTTTTGGACGTGTCCCTCAACTCTGTTGAGTACTTATATATTTTGGTGGTTGCTGTTTAAGTGCAGCCAAGTTGTATAGGGTTTCCGAGGAGCTGTTGGTGGGTCTGAACCAGCAACCTTATAGCTAGCAGTCCAGTCCTTACCCTACAGCGCCACAGTAAGACTCTGTTTTAGGGTGGTACCTGTAAATATAGTCTTCCAGTTCTGCAGCCACGTTTCCAAAAGTGATTTTGGAAACATGGCTATGCAAAAAATCTCTTTATGTACTCAATTTTATCAATCTTTACTTGTATTGCTTCTAAAGTTGAGTCACAGTTAGAAAGCCTTTCATGATACTATAGTCACCTGGCTTCGTTTTCTACACTTCGGTCCCAAATCCTGTTGGCGTTAATTCTTGTGCATGGTATGATAAATCACTGTAAGTACCTGAATCTAACTCTGAACTTTCTATTCCACTCCTTTGGTCTCTCTGCTCATAAGCCAGTACTCGCTGTTTTAATCATAAAGACAGTAGTGCATTTTAATATCTGGTAAAGTCACTAACCCTGTCTGTTCCCCTTCCCACTCCGAGAGGGTTCCCAGCTACTCTTGCATGTTTTGGTTTTCCACATGAACTTTTGTATCAACTTGTCTAACTCCACAACAAAATCTTGTTGGCATTTTTATTAGGATTGCACTGATTTTATAAATTGCTGAGGAGTTTTATCAGTATCCAAGAACAGAGAATGTCTTTCAATTTGTTCAAAATTCTTCAATGTCCTTCGAGTGTTTTAAGAGTTCCTCACAGTGGTT